CGCAGCCGCCACTGCCCACCGCCGCCACGACGTCGACGGCCGTGTCAGCTCTGCCGGGTCAAGGCCAGAAGGGCGGCATGCTGGAGAGCATTCTGACGCTGCTCGTCGAGGAGGTGCGGGAGCTGAAGAAGTCCAACCAGGACCTGCACAAGGAGGTGGTGCTGCTGCGCGAGAAGCAGGAGCAGACCGACGAAAAGGTCGAGCGCATCACCCAGGCCGCACCAGGTATGTGCTCTAGGGTTGAGTGCCGCCATCGTCTTAATGACTCACAATGTCGCTTGTGCTGTGTGTGTGTGTGTTCCGTGTGTGTGTTGCAGCACAACCAATGCTGCTCAACATTCCGAGTCCGTTTCTCGCTACGTCGCACATTCAAAAGGAGCTCTATCGGCTCATGCCTTTCCTCGCCTACTACCGAATCAAGAAAGGCTCCTTTGTCATCGACGACATCAGGTCCGTATTGCGCGCCTACATGACATGTCATTGGAATGTAACATGACCTTTGCTCACTCTGTATTTACTATTACTATTACTTTATTTATTTATTTATTACTATTATTTGTTGTCGCGTTGCAGGAAGCCCTTTATAGCGATGCAGGTCCCGGACATGAGCACCATGCGCGGCTGGGGCACGCTGCCGTGCGGGCTCGGGATGCCCCAGATCATCTCCGCCAACCGCGTCTTCTGCTCCGTTGTCCAGCTGCCGCTCGTACGCCACACCCCACATCTAGGACTCCCCTTCCCTCTTCTATTTTTCTCTCCGTACTGACTCGTTGCGCGCGCGTATGGTAGCATCAACTCGTCGGCAGCCCGTTCTCCGCCGTGTGCCGAAACGAGACGAACAAGGTGACGACCACACGCGTCGCGCGGGCTCCTTGTTCTGATACTTCTCTGTCCTGCAATTAATTGGCTGACCTGTGGTGGGTGGTGGTGATGTCAACAGCGGCTGATCTGTCGTTTCGCGAAGGGGAATGGCGGGGTCGCCGTGAGCGATCCGATCGACGCGACCTGCACCAACCGCACGCCCACCGGCAAGGTGCGCAACCTCAAGACCCGTCTGCAGATCTTCTACGGACCCGACGGCCAGGTACAAACCATCATCTTTTCTATTTTCTTCATGTCTTCATATATATGTTAATCTTTATATATAAAAAGATGTAGATTATATATATTTATTTATTTATATATATATATATATATGAATTGCTATTGACGCTGCGACTGTCACGTGACGTGACACGCCCACAGATGAAGTGGCTCGTGTCGGTCTTCGATTCGATGGTGGAGCACTCGAGCGAACACGAGCCGGCGACCATCACGTTCCCCTCGCCGCTGCTGTCGTGTCTCGCCGAGGAGGATTCTTGCACCGGCGACGTCTACTCGACGACAGCGACGCGGCCCGACCACCTCTTCCTCCCTTCCTCTCCCGCGCAGTCGTCATCTCCTTCGCCCTCTTCGCCCTTTTCGTCGTCGTCGTCGTCTTCGTCGGCCTCACCACTGCCCTCGGCGGGCGCGGGCACGTCGTCTCTTCTTCCGGTCGGGACCACTCCGCCGCCCGTCTTCTCGTCGATGATCTCGGTCGGGGGCTACCACACCATCCCCGGCCTCTTCCACGACGACGAGCGATTCCAGTTGATGGAAGAGGACAACGAGAACGACAATGACAACGACGCGCAGCAGCAGCAGCAACAGAACCAGCAGCAACAAGATGGGTTCCTGCAGGACCTGTACTCGCCATCGATGATCAATCCGTCGCCGCCGGGCTCGGTCACGACGCCCCTGCCCTTCCTGCCGTCGCCGCTCTCCGCGCAGGACGACCTCTCGTGGCTCCTCGCCTCCTCGCCCAAGCCCATTCCATCGCCGCCGCCCATCCGCTACCAGGACTGAGATCAGATATTTATTTGTACATAGACACAACAGCATCAACCAACAGCAATCGGTGGTGTCTTCTTCCAATTCCAATTTCTTTTACTTAGTATTGGGCCTGCACAAGTTGTACATCACCGAGAGCGTCAGATAGGTGACAGCCCTGTGGCAAGTGCTGGGCGAGTTGCAACTCAGGTGCCAGCTGGCAACACATGTACAAGCATCATCCGATCAAGAGTGGAAATCCAAAAGGCACCAATCAGGCGCCGTAGTTAAGTGGTAAAATTCTCGCTTAGGGTGCGAGAGGCCCCGGTTCGATTCCGGGCGGCGCCCAATCTTTTGTCTTGAGTTCTCCCACCAAATTGGGGGGATGGGGACCACCTCCCACCTTGCCATTACCCCAGCAGCAACTGCATAGTGGGGATAAAATAGATAATAATAGGCCCACCATTCCAAGAGAAAAATCCACCACAACAATAAAATTGTTCTCTCACACCAATAAAATCACTTTTAACTTGACACATTCTGAGTTTTTATCAAATCAAAACTGCCCCATAAATTAAAAATGGCAAATCTCAGATGATTCAAATGAGCACAAGTTTGATGTCTCTTGTTGTTTGAATCATGATGTCAGCAAACAGCCAACTCAAGCATCCTGCCAGAATCACACTCCAGGCAGATTGATAAATTACACAGAGCAATGGGCCAACTTTGCCAGTAGAAAGCAGGGAGTTTTGTACCTGTCCTGCATACTCCACTATCTTGTCTTGGTCATGTAGTTGCTATTGTTGTGTTAATGCTGTAGCCTGAGGAGCAGGCAGTGTAGGTTGTGTTTGGTGGCAAAGAAGAACAAGAGACAAGCTGATGCAGGCACATGTGCTCACAAAGTCAAAGGATGTGATTAGGCTCACCAGCAAACAGGCCCCAGCATTGGATTGCACTGTTTTTATGAACTATGTAACCTCTAAAAGCACAAATTAAAAATCCATCAGCCTGCCTGCACACAGAAATCATTTCAAAATCTGAGCAAGCTGGTGGGTGCTGATATCATTCAAGACTGTCCCACTAAGCAGTTGCTGCTGGGGTAATCGCAAGGTGGGAGGTGGTCCTCATCCCCCCAATTCGGTGGGAGAACTCAAGACAAAAGATTGGGCGCCGCCCGGAATCGAACCGGGGCCTCTCGCACCCTAAGCGAGAATTTTACCACTTAACTACGGCGCCTGATTGGTGCCTTTTGGATTTCCACTCTTGGTCCGATGACGCTTGTACAGGCCTTGCTTTCCAACCAGCACGTGCACTTGCCACGCAGTTTGCGGTTGTTGCCCAGGCCAGGTTTGCTTGCCGCGACACTCGGCCCTCACCAAAAATATAGGTTTTGATTGTTGATAACAGGTGGCAACAGTCAGTTCCACCAGGGAGGGACAAGCATTTGCTGCAGGAACAAAAACAATGAGGAACACTCAAGATGGTTGCCAGTCTTATCTTCTGGCGAGCCTTTCCACCATCGTGGCTCTTTCACTCTTATGGTGCAGGCGGCTAGATCGCCGTACTTGACCTTCCTTCTTGGGCGCCACTTGCTCCTTGCCTGAGTCACTCCCTGATTCTGTTTCGCCTTGGGCTTGGTGTCCTCCTGTACTTCGTCCGTCATCCTCCGCCTCCTTTTCTTTTCGTTCAAGCGCGGAGAGAGTCGCCAGTCGGACATCGACCCAGCTCGCTTCTCTGGTCATCTCCTCCGCTGCATAGAACGCCCGAAGCTGCCGATATCTGCTCGCATCAAAGACAGTCAGCCCTGGAATCAATGAATGGGTTGAACGACTAACCTGTCCTCCACGTCTAAGCCGCCGAGTGCATGATACAGCTTGTGGAGGTCGACGGGGCACAGGTGCATCGGCTGCGCGTCGTCTTCGCTCACATGCCCCGACCCTGCAGACGCAAACGGGTGAGACCACATCACCCTGGCTGCAGCGTGCGCGTGCAATCGGACAGTTACCGTTCATGCAACAGCTGTAGTACACGCAGTGTTCAATGTTGAACATGTGGAACACCTGGAGTAGCAGTCACAGTATTCGGAGTTAAAATAGATACAGGCCAAGCATGACGGGTGAATGGGCGGCTTACCTCGTGAGCCATCACCTTGCAGCTTCGAGCGATCAATAGCCTTCGGTTGGCCTCCGCTTGCCCTGCAGTGTCTGCTTGGGGTTCGTCCTCCTCTTCTTCCTCAACCGGCGCTTTCTCCTTCCCCTTGCGTGCGGTCTTCTTCTTGGCCTCCGTCTTCGTTCCTTTCCTCTTCTTCTTCGCTCTTTCTGCCTCGGCGTCGTTTTCGTGCTCCGCCTCATCGTGTAGCTTGTCACGAAATGCCGGATCGTAGCGGGCGAAGGAGAACAGCCCCACGCGACTCTCCAACGACGCCAGCCCCACCACGAACGAGTCCTGCACCAGCGCCGCCGCAGCAAATGCACGTTCAGTTAGTCAGAAAATCATCAATCAATGGAAGAGGCGGCGGTGTCGCACGCGCTGTCCGTCGTAGAGATCCTCCATCGTGAAGGCGAGGAGGCAGTAGGCGTCGTCCGGCAGGAAGTGCTGCAAAGAAGTAAGAATGGGCGGCGCGTGCAGCTGTCGCATCGTTTTCTGATCCCTCACCTGCAGATGTGTCGTCAGCGGTAGGTTGAGCTTGCCAGCACCATTCAGAATGGTGTGTGCGTGTGCGTGTGCGTGTGCGTGTGCGTGTGCGTGTGCGTGTGCGTGTGCGTGTGCGTGTGCGTGTGCGTGTGCGTGTGCGTGTGCGTGTGCAAAACGCGCCTTGTGCAAGTCGTAGGGATGCGCCACCCGCCAAGGGATGTTGGTACGCGCTATGTAGCGCCGAGAGCGAGTCACTCGCGGCACGTCGATGCCCAGCTTCCCTGTGTGAGTGTGTGATTTGGTCGCACACGCCGTGTCATAGTCGTAAGCCAGCACAACGCCAACTCGACTCGGCCCACCACCTTGGAGCCTGGGCTGGGTACCCGCTGCCGAGGTGATCTCGAGTGTGGGCAAGAGGGCCACCTCCATACCCAGGAAGTAGCTGTGGCCACAGTGAGAGATGAGCGAACAACAGAACACACAATTTTTGACTAACAGTCGAATCGACAGCAGAGTGTGGGCGCGAGCGTACATCCGAGCAAAGGCGATGAGCTTGTCGAAGATGTGCGCGGCATTGTCCTCGAACTCGCCAAACGGAAGGAAGTAGATCGTCCTCCGCTCTGGCGTCCTGTACCACACAACATAGCCACCATCGTCATCATCATCGTCATCATCGCCCAGCTGAGACGAGTAGCGGCAACACGGCACAGACGTGTATACGCACACGCGATTCCGCGCCTCTGAGCTGTACCACTGGCCGAACGACTGCCGTGGCTCCACGTATTGATGCAGCCAATCTGTGTGTTGTACGGCACACACCACACCTGGTGGCTGTCAGTCCAGTCGAGGCGCAGAAGAGACCATGATAGTTCTTGGTGTGCGTGTTTGGGGGGGGGCGTGCCGTCGATGTGGGTGGGGTCGGGGATGGGCTGGAAGTCGTCTCCGGGTGTGAGGTGGGCGAGCGACAGCCCCAGCGCACCTGCACTCGCTCCTGCTTGCCGCTTGGCCGACTCACACACGCCTGTTGCAGGACGGGCGAGAGATAGTGGTGAGGCTGTGTACACAGCCACATGACGCCGCGTGCGTGTGTTGTTGGTGGTGGCCGATGTGTGCGTACGGCATGGGACATTCGGGCAGGAACCAACGCGAGCAGACGAAGCAAAGATGGCCGACAGCTGCTCCGCTGTGGTCGCCCTCTCGAACCCTGCACTGCCCCCCCCCCCAATTTGCACAGCACCAGAAAGGTGTGCGGTGTCGGAAGCTATACGTGGGCTTTGGGGGGGGGGGAAGCCAGCGCATCTTCGTACCTTTGGCAAAGCGAAGGGCCTTTCTCTTCCTATGGTCCTTCTCTTGCTTCTTCATCTCGTGTTGTGTTGGTGGTTGAAGACCTATTTTTCTATTTCTTTGTGATTTATCTACCCGTAAAAATATGAATCAACAACGCCCATCTACACAACATTCATGATGACAAGGTACTCTGCTCAGCTGCTGCTTGTGGATGAGGCACGAGATCGGTTGGGAGACGAACTGCTGCTGCCGCCCTGCGGTCTCTTGTCCGTCAGCAAACTGTCTCCGTGGCGCGGACGGTGCGTCTCGGTTGCTACACAGAGGGAAGAGTAAGTAAGCCGAGGGTGGTGACTGTCCAGTTTCAGGGCGAGGCCGGAATAGATCTGGGTGTCGAACCTGGTAACTCACTGCTGTCGCCGCCGGGCACCTTGAAGCGAAGCTCGATCTTGAAGTTTGCAGGGTAGATCTTGTCCTGCATGACCGTAAGCCTCATCCCATTACCTCTCCTTGGCCACGCGCGAACGCGCCAAAAGGGCGGGTGGAGGGTGGTCAAGGTACCTTGGTGTCCTTGGCGGCCTTGTCGATCTCGGCCTTGGGGAGGATGATCCTGTTGTCCGTCGCGAAGGCAGTGTTGACCCAAAAGTGCAACACCTTGTCCTGTAGATGGTGGGAAAGGGTGTCAGGCCGCACAAATTGCGTTGCATCCGCAATCGATGGAGCAAACAGACGACGAAGGGCTCCTTCGTACGAATTCGATCTTGATGTCACCGCAGACGGGCAGCTCGTTGACCCACTCCTTGATGGAGATGACCAGTCGCGTGAGCTCCTCGCCTCCTTCACCGCCCAGAGACTCCTCGGCGGCCTCCTTCTCCGTCCCCTCCTCTTCCCTCTGCTTTTTGGCCTCCTTGATCAGGCTCTTGATTTTCTTCTGTTTGATGATAACAAGGACACCAAGCGAAACCGTGAGACTCTGGCTGGCTGGCAAGCGCCTGCAACTGTTATCGACGCAATGTGTACCTTGCCGTGGAGCAGGGGCACCAGGTGGATCGTCCGACCGCCTTCGTTCTTCCTGACCGCTTTTGAGATAGTGAACCGCAGGTCCTGCGAGAGCGAGAGCCGTTAGCTGCGATTCAAGCTGGCACGCGGCCAGAGCGTGCGGAGCCAGGTACCTGAACGCCTTTCGGAACACCGTGGAAGATGATGTCTGTTAGGAAGTAGGAGCGGAGGTTCAGCGCCCCCTCCCGTAGCCACCTTTCGAAGTAGTGAATGTAGCGGATCTGGCTGGGTATCGTCACTCCCTGGTCATTGCAAACGATCACGTGAGTATTGGACTGCTCAGAGCACTCTTTGTACACATATGCACCTTTTGGTTGCATGTGCGATAGGCTGCGTAGTACTTGAGCGCGCCATCCGCATCTTCCCAATCTCCATTGTACAGGAGCCAGCAGCAGATCATGAGACCCGTTCGCCCCTTGCCCGCCTTGCAGTGAATCACGGCGATGTTTTCGTCGTCTTGCTTCAGCCAGTGCTTGACGTCCTCACAGAAGCTCTCAATGTCCTCAAACATGGGGCTGCGGTTGAGGCAAACCAACAGACGGTTACGATCTACCACGGCTGCGCACTACGATGAAGCGAAGCGCAGTGCGCAGGCACGAAAGAGAAGCGCACCAGTTGTGATCGTCGAAAGGGAAGCGCGCAACGGAGTGAAACTTCTTGGCATCGTACGTTCGCTCAGAGCAGAGGTTATACACCTGTCAAACGCGAGAAGTCAGGAGAGGTGGGAGAGGAGCGAGGGAAGAGAGCAAGACAGAGCTGCATGGGCGGAGAGGTTCACGCACCCTGTAGTGACCCTTGTGCCGCAGCTCAAGAAAACGCTGGACCTCAGACATGGGATTACGGTACACTGATTCGGAACCCTCGGAGGGGAACCCCATCGCGAGGATTCGGGCCTTCCCAGTCTCGCCAATGTCTGTTGAGGGGGGGGGGGCACAACAAGATGAGAACCCAAAGTTGACGTTAGGATAGGATTATCCCAATTGATGGGAGACGGCATATGCGGGTACGAACAGCTGAGATCGAGGTCGATGTTGATGTCCTTTTCGATAAACCGCCTCTTGCTCTTTGATACAGTATGCTTGAGTTGGATCATCTTGTCACGAACACGGGGTCTCCGTCTTCCCCCTGGTGTTGGTGTGGCGTAAAAAGTTGTGAGACCTGATTTGTTCTTCTTCTTCTTCTTCTTGCCAAGTCCAAAGTTTTGAATCAAAGGGGTTGGTACGCACCCCTTCTTTCAAGCCAGTACTCTCCAACGACTGTCCGGCGGAGGGGCAAGCCCAATACCTAAAACAGAGCTCGCTTTTGTCCGTTATGTCGACAGTTTGCTTTCCCGCTCGCAGGTCTTCTGCGTCGTCTTCGCTGTTGTGCTCTTGATGTTTGCTGCTGCGGTCGATGGCGAGCCTAGAGAGATACCTCCACCAGCTGGCCGGCTCATGGCGGACACCAGAGTTCGAACTCGAGCCCGCTCACCGGCTGGTGACGTCGGAGGCGGATGGCAGTGACAGAAGTCACTCCCAGACGCTACGGCACGCTGGCAAGATGGCGTACTTTCAAGCTCAAACCCGCCACACAGTGGGTTCCCTCCGCCTTTCCACACTTTCCCTCCGCTTCAACCGCTGATGACATCTGGCGCTTAGAATTGTTGTGGAGCCCATACTTCCCAGCGAAAATTTCCTGCGGCGGTTTGTCGACGTAACATACAACTTCACCTGCACCCGCCCTATTCGATAAGCGAAGATCACTGGGCCAAGCGTCCCATTGTCGACAGAGTTCAGGCGCCAAAAACAGGGGAAAGTGGCACCTTGTTGTGGTGTGAATGGGTACCGCTGCAAGATAAGGGACAACCTACAAATAGTCGCCAGGACTCGTCTCTCTGGTCTTTGGCTTCCTCTCCTCTTCCCTGGTGGCTTCTACCCTCCTGCTCCTTTTTGTTCTTATCTCTATCTCGTTGATATCGGTTCACCCTCGCGCCTCGTTCAGCCTCTCAGTTCTTACTCAGCCCACACAACCGATTTGTAATTCCTCCATTTTCTCAATTTCCTCGATTTCTCATCTCCCCAGTCCATCTCCATCAGCCAGCTTTACATTTAGAACATCCATCCATCTTTACTCTCGCCAAAACCCAGCGACATCACAAATCCCAAATCGCGACAATCTCCTTGCGACCGCTCTACGCCGGCAACATGAATCGACACATGAACAGCTATCGAAGCAGCAGCAACGAAGAAACAGATGACGAAGAGATGGAAGACGATGTGAACAGCATCTTCGATCGGCCGGTGCGCGATCTGCTCTACCAGAAGGTGCAGCGACTCGAGCGCGAAGAAGGGCACCAGATGGGTGGCGCCGCCACTTGTCCTCGAAACGACTCAAACTTCTCCTACGGCCGACGAGTACCTCGTCATGTGAAGGTACCATAGCACAATCTCATCGTTGACTGTCGTTGTTCTGTTGTTTCGCAACTGAAACAACCAGGAAATCTCTCACTTCAATCTGGAATTCTGCATTACCATGAATCCATCTAATTCTCATCCCTTCCAGGAGCAAGAGTGGAACCTATCGAGCTTAATCCAGGCGCAGGAGGAGCAGCGCTCGCTGGAATGCTACGAAATCAACATTGATCCCATCGTGCGGCACAAACTAGCCAAGTACGTGCGCCATCTTCTGCACAACTGACTTGTTCCAACTGGGCGTGCACCAACCACATCTTGGCTTGATCTCTTCAGGCTGTTGCTGCTCAATGGTGTGCTGCTGGACCGAAATCCAGGCGTGTACAAGCAGCTGCTGAACTACCCTCGGGCCGAGGTGGAGCTGCGAGGCGATATCGCCAAAGACGTGGACAGGACCTTCATCGAGTACCGACTGTTCTCCAACGGGAACAAGGGGTACGTTCATCTACTCGACCACATCATCGTCTCTTATTATCGTCTGTCTGAACCAACCGGGTCTCTTAAAGAGTTTCTAAACGTTCGTCTGTACGTCGTGTGGTGTCTTATCATCATCATCATCAGGCAGGGCATGCTGTACCGGGTGCTTGCGGCATATGCCGTTTACAACCCGGAGATCGGCTACTGCCAGGGCATGAACGTTCTCGCCAGCGTGCTCCTTCTGGCCCGCTTCTCCGAGGAGGAGACCTTCTGGGCGCTCACGCGACTCATGAAGGAGTACTCGATCGAGCAGATGTTCCTCCCCGGCCTCCCCGGCGTGCGTCGGTCTATCGAGAAGTTCAACGAGCTCTTTGAGTTCCTCCTGCCCAAGCTGGCCAAGCACTTTGCCAAGGAGGGCATCGAGAGCACCATGTACCTCTCCAAGTGGTTCATGACCCTCTACGGGTACTACTTCTCTTCTTCCCCGTCATCATCATCTTTCTTCTTCTTCGCGTGCTCTGTTCGCACACTCTTCTCTTTCTCATGATTCTCTTTCTCTTCACTTTGTTGCAGATCGGTGCTGCCGCTCGAGTTGGTGTTCAAGGTGTGGGAAGAGTTCCTCGCCACCGGCAGCTGGTCCGTGCTGTGGGCCGTCGGCCTTTCGCTCCTCCACTTGTTTGAAGGTAGGTCTTACCTCACTTCTCCCTTCCTATACATTCACTCTGATGGCTCACCGACGTTGTCTTCCCCTCCTCTCTCTCTGTAGATGAGCTGCTCAAGCGACCCTTCGAGGGCATCCTGCTCTTCATCCAGTCGCTGCCTCTCGAGAAGCTCGACGAAGGCGCCGTCCTCGACCAGACCGCGGCCTTCCGCAAGCAGATCCGCGAGGCCAAGTGGGCGCAGGAGTCCCTCTTTGCCCTCCTCGCCTGAAACCCAGTTATTTAATTTATTTATTGGTATTTGTTCGCCGCCCACGCGCACCCACGCTCTTGTCCGGGCTGTGTGCGCTGGGCCGCACCTCATAGGAGGACCACACCACAATAAACCGCTCCAATCGACCAAGTGCTCATCGGGCTACACGCAGCGAGAGGTGGTGTGTGAGCGAAGTTTGATGGCTTAGCCCCTTCTCCGAAATTACGCAACAATCCCACAATGTCGCGCTGGTGGGGGTGGTCACCGAGCCAAGAAGGGCAAGCGTCGAGGTCTTGGGCTTGGGTGTGGTGGCCCGGCTTGCAAAGATGAAATTCATGCTACTTCGATTCAACAAGCTGATTCTGAGTAGCTCGGAGTTCGATGCCTCCTTCATCATGAAGCAAATTACGTCGGTGTGCTCCTCCGGGAGCTCTCATACATGTTCGTGCGGGCGGGGTCGGCATAGACCCCGCCTGTCGAGCAATCCCCAACGCAGAGAGTAAACTCTGCTTCACCAACAAATCGCCTGGCCGAGAGGCCGGGATCCCCCTGGACCCCAATACCCCCACCACCGCGTGATTCGCCACCAAGCAGCCACACCCACCTTTTTGAGTTGTTTTTAATTAAGTAAAAAGGAATTATATAAACATTTATATAAATATAAACATTCACTCGAAGTGGCCGGGGACGAGGCGGATGAAGCGGTGCTGCGGGAGGCTGTCCAGGCGGGCGACCTGCTCGGGGCTGAGCTCAAAGTCGAAGATGGCGAAGTTGGCGCGGAGCCTCTCCTCGTTCGAGCTCTTGGGGATCACCTGGTATATATGCGTTTGGCAAGTGCGGAAAGTGAGCCCACACAAGCGAACGCACACAACGCAACACGAAGAGAGACGTACGGTGATGTGCTTCTGGACGCCCCATCGAAGGACGACCTGAGCCGCCGACCGACCGACTTCGGCGGCGATGTCCTTCACGACCTCGTTCTCGAGGAGCGGCACCACGCCCTCCGAGCTGACGGTCGAGCCGAGCGGGCTGTAGGCCGTCAGCACGATGCCTGTACGTTCACCACCACATCATCGATCGACGGTGAGCAGGTTGTGTGTGTGGTGTGTGTGGTGTGTGTGGTGTGTGTGGTGTGTGTGGTGTGTGTGGTGTGTGTGGTGTGTGTGGTGTGTGTGTGTGTGTGTGTGTGTGGTGTGTGTGGTGTGTGTGGTGTGTGTGTGTGTGTGGTGTGTGTGGTGTGTGTGGTGTGTGTGGTGTGTGTGTGTGGTGTGTGTGTGTGGTGTGTGTGTGTGTGTGTGTCATGTGAGGAGGGAAAGAAGGTTACCCTTTGAGGTGCAGTAGTTGAGGAGCTCGGCCTGGAAGAGGTACGGGTGGAACTCGACCTGGTTCACGGCCGGCACGACCTGCGCGTCGGCCAGGAGCTCCTCGAGCTGCTTCACGGTGAAGTTGCTCACGCCGATCGACTTGGCCAGGCCCTGCTTCTGGAGCTCCTCCCTGGTTTGTTGTTAAGGTGGCAGTGGTTAGTTGCTGAGGTGGCGGTGTCGGTCAGCAGGTGGTGGTGGTTGGTTGGGGGTTAGCGTACAGGGTCTTCCAGGTCTCCTTGAAGTCGAACGACCACGTGATGGCCGGGTTGAGCTTGCCCTCGGGCGTGCGGAGCGGCTGCGCGATCTGCTCCTCCTCGAACTTGATCGGCCAGTGGATCAAGGAGAGGTCCTACGACACACACACACAACACACACACAACACACACGACACACACGACACACACGACACACACCACGTCAGAACGGTACACAGGTAGAAGAGCAACGAAGGGCGCGTGGTGTGGGTACGAGGTAAGGGATCTGGAGGTTCTTGAGGGTGTTGTGGATGGCCTTGACCGCACGCTCCGGCTGGTGGTGGTTGTTGAACACCTTGCTCGTGATGAAGAGCTCCTCACTGCCGATGGGTGAGGAGATCATTTAGGGGAAGTAAAAACATCATCATCTGATCTATTCGAGAGAGAAGTGTGCGGCTGGACGTACCGCTTGACGAGGCCCTCATCGAATGCGCTCTTGAACGCCTCGCCGATCTCGGCCTCGTTGCCGTAAATCTCGGCGCAGTCTGAATAAAAACAATATAAACAGTAAATAAGACGTAATATAAAATAATAAAAATAAATAAAAAAGATTTATAAAATAATAAAAAAAGAAGAGTGAGGATACCGAAGTGACGGTAGCCGGCCTTGATGGCAGCCTTCACGGCAGCGCCCACCTCGCCCTTGCCAGCCTGCCAGGTGCCCAATCCTGCAATCATAGATCCAAATCGTATTAAAATCACCGGAAGTTGAAGGATGAAGATGTGAGGTGATCTTCGTACCAACGACGGGGATCTTGGCGCCGGTGTTCAAGTCGAGAGTGGGAGAGAGGGTGGTCATCTTGTGTGGGTTGTGTTGTGTTGTGTGCGTTGGGTTGTTCTCTTTTGTTTCGCTTTTGTTTTGGCTGGGGTGCACGTGCTCCTGCAAACGCCGACATGGAACCGGCGAGCCACTCAACTATGATTGGTCCCGCCACGGATGTGCGATCGCCGTCAACGCCTGGGCCGGTATGGCCGCGGTGCACCGCCCGATCCCGCAACCTGCCCCGCTGGGCGCCACAACATCAACGCCGGACGCATGTTTCGGCGCCAACGTCGGAGCACTTGTTTATCAGAATTCCCTGCCGGAGACAAGCGTACGCGAGCCTGCGCACTTCATAAGACACTTCGTGAGGTCAAACCATCCACTCCCATTTGAAATGGGTTTTTTGACTTGTTTTCCTTTTGCGCTGATGGCCCCGAGCAACGACAACCAGACCTGCAATATGGGCCACTCCGACGGTAACTGCCATCTGTCCTCCTCCTTCCTCCAGCTCAGCCCCCACACTGCACTGCATAGTGCTGTGCTTTGGGTTTTTCTAATATTTTTTTATAACAAATTTCATTAAAAAAACTGATAATAAAAATGTGCAGGGAAGAGGAGGAGGGGTACGGGCTCTCCCCCGAGGACGTGGCTCGCCAGGTGGCCGAGCACCTCAAGGAGGTTGCGGACCAGGAAGAAGCCGAAGGGCGTGCTGGCATCGACCTTGTAGTGAGTGCCGGTGAAGGTGTGAACAGTTAACGTTCGTGGTGGCCACAGTGATCTGCAGCTGACGTTTTGTTGGGGTGCTGTGGTGGTTGTCATGGTGGACACCAAAACAGCAAGCTGCAGTGACCGGCAGGTAGCGGTGATGATCATGCAGAAGGAGTGTCAGATACCGTGTCCGACCAGCTACGACAGCCAACCCATCTACTTTGACATCCCGCCGGTCAACCCCGCCGTGTTCGAGCCGCTACGCGCCTACGGCCCTCCCTTTGACAAGGCGCCGCGCTGGTTCGCCCAGTCCATCCGCTACGGCTAGGTTGTGTCGTGTCGTGTCGTGTCGTGTCGTGTCGCGTGTCGTGTCGTGTTCGCACCAAAATGTACGCGAATTGTTTTCATTTGGTGATGATGACACGGTGAAGGGTGGGTGAGACATCCACGGCCCACTGGTGGGAGGAGGAGTCAGGTGTGTAGCTCTGGTATATGTGTGGTTTGTACAGATCTGCGGCGCAAACCTCTCCAATCGGGAAGAGGAAGCGGAGATGAGGAGGAGGAGGAGAAGAAGAGTCGGGGAAGGGAGGAAGCACGAAGGCGACGACGATGCGGTCACGATCACGGTAGCGAGGGGTGATGAAGTACTGGAGAAGAGGTAAGAGAGAGAGAGAGAGAGAAGGATGAAGAGCAGGACCGACGGATGCAAAATTGCGGTCGAGCTCGTTCACGGTCTATGTACGAGGTGTGGGAAAGGAAGGAGTTGCGGAGAAGGGAGCGAGACGATGGACGGAGAGTGGAGGACGAGATGGATCGATGGGTGGATGAGGGATGAAGGTGATGCCTCCGTGCATCTCGATCGGTCTGTCGGGCGCCACTCTGTGTCCACCGACGAAGCCGACGGCAGTGTCAAGTTGAATCGGAGCTCACCAGGGACGAAGACAGGGACTCGAGATCGAAGGCCATCAGGGAGTCGGGGAGGTCAAGCATCGCTCGCGACGACCGGAAATCCATCTCGGGCGACGGCGGGCCGGCCAGGTGGAGCGGCGACGACGCCGAGGAGGAGACGGTCATCGCGTCGGTCATCATCATCATCCCAAAGGGCGACGACGGCGACAGCGGCGACGACGACGAGGCCGACGAGAGCGAAGAAGAAGAGCAGGTCGAGAAGGGTGGTGGGTCGGTCGCCATGGGCGACACGCCATGGGAAGAGGAGGAGGAGAGCGAGGAGAAGAGCAGCGGAAGAGGGTAGAGGCCCTCCATGCCCGTCGTAGCCGAGCAGGAGGAGCTGTCAAAGGACAGCAGTTGGGAGGAAAGCTCGCTCGACGACGACGACGATGACGACTGCATGTTCGTGTCGTTGGCGTCGACGGTGGAGTGTTGATGGTGGTGTGTCTGATGGTGCGAGTGATGGTGGTGCTGATGGTCGTGCAGGTCGTGAAGCGACTGGCCGTCAAAGTGGGAGGAAGTGCTGCTCGAATCGTGGGTGGGCGGCGAGGGGGCGGAGGCGGACGAGAGCGTGACCATGGCCGACGAGCTCGTGCGGAGCGGCGACGTCAGCGCGCCGACCGAGGACGTGGCCGAAGCGGGGTGGGACGACGACGCGGGCGAGAGGGTGAGCATGGCCGACGAACTGGTCTTGAGCGGCGACGTCAAGCTCTGCGACGCTTCGCTAAAGGCCATCGCGGTCGCGGAGGCGTGGTAGGACGAAGCGCAGATGCACGACTTGCACAGGTAGCTCGATGCGGGAGCCGGCTCGGCCGCGAGCTTGAGCGAGGGCGAGGGCATCGAGGCCGAGAGCGACGACGGGGCCTGCAGCGTCGGCGAGTGGCTGCTCGCGGCCGTCGAGGCGATCTGAGCCACATCCTGGGCGCTGGAGACGAGCTTCACCACCTCGCGCATCCGGGAGTCGATGGTGAGCAGCCGCTCGTAGTGCTTCACCAGCGAGCCCTTGGGGAAGCTGAGGACGTGAGTCTCCAGGTTCGACGCCGAGCCGCCGGTGAAGTCCTCGGCTTCGGCCCATTGGATGTTCCGGCCTGGTGTCGCGCCAAAGAACGAACGAGCTCATCATGTCAGCACCACCACGACCAGAGCGAGCACTTCGAAGAAGAAGAAGAAGAAGAAGAAGAAGAACAGCTTATTACCTGGCCTGGGATTGACTTCGCCAAAGAACTTGGGCGAGCTCTGCAGCCGGACCGTGAGGATGGAGGGTCCGTCGAGGGGCATGTAGAACTCGAGCGAGACCAGGTCCGAGAACACGAACTCGATCTTGGCCATCAACCCGAGAGCCATGATCTCCCTGCATCATGACGTCAGCCCAGTTGTTAAAACATAGCCAACCGCGGAGACTCGCGAGGCAATGGAGAACGCACCACGCGATCTTCCGCTTGGCGTAGTAGAACTTGGCGCAGATTTCGCCCAGGAAGTTGGCCGATCGTTCCCACTCGCCGATGCGCAGCTTGTGGACGGCGACGAGCGAGGGCTTGACCTTGCGGCCCGCGGGCGAGGGCGGCGGCGAGGTCTGGCGGCCGTTGACGTACGACCCGGGTCCGCTGACGGGTCGCTCGATCATCGTAGGCTGCACCGACGACGGAGCGACGGTGCTGGTGCCGGCAGCCGCTGCCGCAGACGCCGCCGACGCGATCATCTTCGCTTCGGCCGTCGACGTCGCACGAATGCCGGGCGCCAGCATCAGCGACCCGGAGCTGCCACTGGCGGCGGCCGCCGCGGTACTGGTCGCCCCGTTCATGAGCTGCATGTGCGTCGACAGCGACATGGGCGCCGACTTGACGGCGCCACCGAAGCTGCCCGGTCCGTGCAGGGGCAGGATGGGGAGGTACTTGGGCGCGAGCTGCACGTTGCGGTTGAGCGTGGACAGGGGCATGCCCTGGGAGGAGAGGATGATCATCGGAGGCGGCGGCGGCGGTGCCGGCGGCGGAGAGCCGTTGGTGGACACCTGCATCGACACGAGCGGCGGCGAGGAGGCCGAGGCGAGCGGCGGAGAGGACGACGACGACAACGCCGAGCCGGAGGTCGAGCGCGAGAGAGACATTGGTGCCGCACCGCTGCTGCTCGTGTTGTTCGAGGGGTGTCTGGCGGTTCCCGCTGAGTGCTTCGCGTTTGCCGAGGGCTGAGGCGGAAGCGGCGACGGTGTGGTCTGCTGCCCCGTGGGTGAGGTGGTCGGCACGGGCGATGCCATGGCTGCCGGCGTGGCGGGAGCAGACGACGACAGCATCGAGGGAGACGACGCAGCGGTCGAGAGGGACGGCGAGGTGGTCGCGTTGCCGCTGGTCGTAGTAGCCCCGGACGAAGCCGACATCATGGAGAGGTTGGTCATGGCGACGCCCGGCGGCAGCTGCGCAAAGGTCTTGCCCGCGGGGAGCACGGGCATGTTCATGCCCACCAGCCCAAACGACGGACGCGGCAGGATGGGCTGCAGCGCGTGCAGGGACTTCTTCGCCGACGACGCGCCGTGGCCACCGTGGTGCGCCATCGGATGGAGCAGCGTGAGCTGCTGCATCGGGATCTGGTGGTGCGGGTGCTGGAGGACGAACTGCGGATGCGCACCCACGGCAAAGGGCATCATGGCGTGTATCATCTGCGGCTGTGGTGGCGGAGGCGGCGGCGGTGGGACGGCTACACCGGCGGCGGTGCTCGTCGTGCGCATGGCCGACGAAGACACGCCGCTGGCCGAGGTCGTCGACGGCGTTGCATGCGCCAAGGACGTCGCAGGAGCAGTTCCCATCGAGCTGTTGAGCGCCGACAGCGACGCCGCCTTGACCATGCGCGCCGATGGGCGGCTCGAGGCCGCCGGCAGCGAAGAGGCTGAGGTTGCCGACGGGGACGAAGCTGCCGTCGTGGTCGCCGAGACGGAGAAGGCGCCCGAGCGCGAGCCTGCGCCCGCAGGAGCCGGGGCGGGAGGAGGCGGCGGCGGCGGCACCACTGACGAGTGTTGGTGCAGCTGGCTGGATCCGTGAAGCCTGGAAGAAGCCGCGGGCTGCTGGCGTTGATGTTTGTGGGTAGTCGAGGGAGCGGGGGGCGGGGGCGCGGTCGGGAAAGAGACGGACGTCGAGGGGGTTCCTGATCCTGGCGAAGATCGAGGAAGGTGTTGGTGGTAGGTGGGAATGGAGGGAGAAGAGGAGAGCTGCATGGGGTCCTTGGGGACGGTGATTCGTCGCATCTTGGGCGAATGCTCGACGCCAGCTGGGCCAGCAGGCACTTTCGTCGAAGATGAAGAGGTAGATGAAGATGAAGTAGCGGATGTCGATGTCGATGAGGGCATCGAGCCGAAGGAGTGGGGAAGAGAGGGCACTGAAGACGAACCCATCGAAGTAGATGAGGAAGCCGCGCCAGTGCTCGCGGGAGTGGGGAAGGTAGAAATGCTCGTCGATGAAGATGTGCTGCCATTGAGGAATGGCGCCGACGAAGGGCCTGTCTGCGAAGCGCTCCTCGATCGCCCAGCCTCCATCGACGTCGATGGGGGTCTTGAGGCTTGGTCCTGGGTACCCACCTCATTTCGCTGCGAGGCCAAATGTTGCGGTCCATTTCCTGCGGCCATTCCAAGCCCAGGTGGCAGCGCTTGGGCCGGCTGACCTTGTGTCGGCTGCCCCGACGAGGGAGGCAGCTTTCGCTTCATCTCTCTCTCGATCTCGGCAGCAGGACAAGGCGCTCACAGCGAGGACACAGCCGTATCGTTTTCCTTGGTCATTTCATCTTAAGGTGGCGGTGCAAATTCAAAATCTTTATTAGAATGTTTCCGAAACGTTTCGTGTTTTTTTGCACCGGCTTCCGTTTGAACGAGGCTCGAGTCAGTGGGAGGCCTCGGTTGCGTTCGCTCCCCAAGCGGCTACTTTGTTGTTGACAGGAGTGTTGCGGAACCGGTCGGTCTTCATGTACGCTTCGATGGCGGGCAGCGCACGGAAGCGAGCGAGGTAGGCCTGATTGCCAAGTGCAAGGCCCAGTGAGCTGACCACATTGACATGTCACTCAAACAGGGAAGGGCATGTACCTGCAGGTGAGAAAATCCCTGCAAGCAGTGGGGTTCCATCATGACGTGCTCGCTCAGCATCTCGCAGAAGTGGAAGTCAGGCACCGTAGGTTCGTCACCAGCAAGAAACTTCTTGTCTCCCAAGAAAGCATCGAACTGCTTGAGAGAGCCGGGTAGGCGATTCAAGAACCGGGCCTTCTTCTCTGCAAACTCATTTGGGTCGCAGTAGAACATGTCCACGCTCTCTGCATCGTTGCGCATGAGAGGAGTTTCGCCATTGCTGACAAGCATGTTGAAGCGTACCGTTTCTAAAGTCCACCAACACGTCGATGAGCATGTCGATCTGGGCCTGCTCCTTGAGGTCTTTGCCCAACAGAGCAGGGTTGGCCTTGCGCGCGATGTGGCGCAGAATGGCGTTGCTGTTGGTGCCCTCCCCCCCCCAACAACCATCATCACCACAATCATCAGTCCTTCAAACTCAACAAAGCTCATCAGCGAAGTGCTTACCTTTGTGTGATCTTCACATCACCATCAATGAGGTAGGGCAGGTTGGGGAAGTCCAAGCCAAGCGAGTTCTGGAGACAAATTGCAGAGGTTAGGTTCGAGCTCGCAGTGCAGTCTGTTCCAACTGCCTTTGCACCTTGACACCAAACCAGTGCTCCCTTGAGTAATCGGGAGCGTGGCCCTGCACGTATCTGCGGTCCTCATAGGGCAGGCCAGTGTACTCGAGCAGGAAGCTATGTAGCCATAGTCGCTGGAAAGTCAGTTGCATTGCAAAGTTATGTTGTTTTTAGCACCAGTTCCGTACCGGATGGGCTCGGCAAGACAGCGAATGTCCCAGTAGCCTACCACAAGCTTGCTCTGCTGTTCGGCGGCCATGGGTTGTTGAAGAAGGCACACCGAGCCGTGGCGGCAAGAGTCGGGACCCGGGCTGGCGCCGAAATAAAACTGACCATTAGCCGCGAAGGGAGGGAAAAGTCACAGAATGCAACTTTTTGCATTTTTATCATTTTGTTTTTTGTTTTTTGTTTTTTTGGCATTTACGTTTGCACACATCTTCGAGCACAATGCAACGTGGAGGTTCGTTTCTCTATCGAGTTGTAGGCCCTCAGCATTTGCTCAGCAGGCTAAGAATCCTATTTTACTAATTCACAACATCTCGATCAGGGTACGGCGGCGGCAGGGGTGGCTACGGCAGAGGAGGTGGAGGCGAAGGAGGCGGAGGTGGCCGCGGTCGTGGGTGGTACTACAAACAAAAGTACGGCGGTGGCGGCGGGCACAAGCGACCACACCCAGACACGGACGAGTTCGCTCACGACCGCCGCAGCGACGGTGGCAACCGCATGGGTACGCTCCTCCGCATGAACCATCTTCGCACGGCCGTGCGTCGTGCTCTGCTTACACTCTGTGCTCGCGCGTCGGCAGAGGAAGAGTTCGAAACAGAGCCGCAGCGCTACGGCGGCAGCGGCAGCGGCCGAGCGGTCGTGCGTGGCACGCAGGAGCAGCTGAAGCGGACGCTCGTCTCGCTGGACGGTCGAGGCTACGCAGCATACAAGGACATCATAGGTCTCTATGCTTTCTGCGTGGCACACATCGCCACCGCACACGCACACGGCACACGGCACACGGCACACGGCACACGCACACGCCAACGCCAACGCAATCGAGATTGACTGTGGAGGGCAGGCAGCTATGATTGTGGCTTTTTCACGCTTCTGGTGGACCACATTCAGTCAGACCCGTTCGCTCCGCCGTCCCACTTCCGCGCGCAGGTCCCGCACAAGGTGGCCCAGTTCCCGCCGGAGACCTACTCGACCGCCACCAGGTAAACAACAACAGCAACACCACCACCACTCGCCATGCGCGTATCGTGACAACACACACACACAGGGCCGTAGCTCTGGCGGACTTCTTGACCCGAGTGTTCTATCGCCACGTACACGAGCACCGGTACGAGGCCACAACCCGCTCTCTCTTGCACCAATCAACCGAACGTCTGATAGTCTCTCTCTGGTGTTTCGTGTGTCGTGTGTCGTGTGTCGTGTGTCGTGCGTGTTCGGGGGCACAGGCACGATGTGCGGACGGCGAGCGGCGGATGGGGCGGCGCCAAGGGCGGCGAACTGCAGATCGACAAGCCCAGCCAGCACGTCCTCCCTCGTACCTCGGTCATCGTCACGCCCGCCCACATCGAAGTGCGCTTCACCGTCGCTCTCCCAGGTTCTGTCGCGTTTTCCTCGACATACGACACGACACGACACGACACGACACGACACGACACACTTATTCGTGAGGTCAGCCCAGGGTCGTTCGATCATGGGTGAGTGGGCGGCCACCATTGTCACGGAGAACGTACCACGGATCGTCCGCGGCACCATGTGCCACGACAAGCTGGACGCCGCTGCTCTCCGCCAGCACGTTCTCTCCGTCGAAGACCAGGAGGCGCTCAGGTTTCACCACCACCCACCACCCACCACCACACCACCGCCGCCCAGAGACTAACCTATTGGGGGCGGGGGCTGCGGCTCGTAGAAATCAGCTCAAGGCTGCTTCTCTGTTGGCCTTTGTGCGCAACGGTGCCATTCTCCCTCGCAAGTCGGGTAACGGCACCACTATCACAGCACCTCACCCAAGCGCCAGGTCAGCTGACCGTGCGTGTACGTGTGCGTGTGCGTGTGCGTGTGCGTGTGCGTGTGCGCGCGATGGTGCGTGTGCGGTGGTGCGTGTGTGTGTGCGTGTGAAGGTGCGTGCGATGAACCGATGAGCGGCGAGGAGGCAGTCCCGTTCCAATCCCCTCCGAGCCTGGAGCGCGAATTTACTCTGCCCAACAGCGGCAAGGTGAAGGGCATGGCCATCGCGCGCGGCATCACGCTCATCGTCGGCGGTGGCTTCCATGGTGCGCCGCTCCCCTCCACCCCGAGTCCCTCTCGTCAGGCGTGGGCCTGTGCTCACGACACGCCACGACCAACGACACGACACAGGCAAGTCCACGTTGTTGGAGGCGTTGCAGGTCGGGGTCTACAACAAGATACCGGGCGACGGTCGCGAGTTCGTTGTGTGCGACCCCGACGCAGTGACGGTACGTGGTGTGTCGTGTGTGTCGCAGTGTGTGTGTGTGTGTGTGTTCTCCATTGATCCTGTGTGCGTGTAGATCAGGGCGGAGGACGGGCGGAGCATCGAGAACGTGAACATTTCGCCGTTCATCGGTAATCTGCCGCGAGGCAAGTCGACAACCACCTTCTCCACGCCGGACGCCAGCGGCTCCACGTCGCAGGCCGCCAACATCATGGAAGCGCTCGAGGTATGAAGAGCGCAGAAGAAAAAGAGCGAAGAAGAAGGGCTGACGAGTGGTGGTTGGTGTGTGGGCGCAGCTCGGGTGCAGTGGTCTGTTGATCGACGAGGACAAGTCGGCCACCAACTTCATGATCCGCGACAAGCGCATGCAGATGCTCGTGGCCAAGGAGAACGAACCCATCACCCCGTTCATCTATAAGGTAACACGACACGACACGACACGACCAACGACACGACACGACACACGACACGACACGACCAACGACACGACACGACACACGACACGACACGACCAACGACACGACACGACACACGACACGACACGACCAACGACACGACACACACACACGACACGACACGACACACACACGACACGATACGGCGCAGTTGACGAACTCACAGACCACCTCCGCCGTTGCAGGTGCGCTCCATGTATGCGGACTTGGGGGTGTCTTCGGTGCTGGTCATCGGCGGGTCTGGCGGTACGACACCCGTTGCACCACTCTTGTCGCCCTTTCACGGCACTCACCAACCACAACCGCCCCTCACGGCGCGGCTCAGATTACTTTGACGTGGCCGACACGGTGATCATGATGCAATCCTACGTCCCTCAGTACGGCCCACTCGCCCCCAAGCTGCACTCTCACTTGCTTTTTTGTAACACACACACACACACACACACACAGCGATGTGACTGCCGAAGCGAAGGACATTGCCGCACGGGTGAAGTCGGAGCTGGACAACGAAGGAGGTAACGTTCGCGATCTTCGCTTCGCTTTCGCTTTCGCTTTCTTTCTTTGGTTGGTTGGTCATGTGTCTGCAATGGTGGTGGTGGTTGATGCTGTTGGCGTGGTTCAGGAGAACGCTTTGGTTCGGTCACGGAACGGTATCCCCTGGGCCGGGCCATCGACCGCTCGTTCCCTTCGCGCGACCGACAGAAGATCAAGGTCAACAGCCGCACCACAGTGCTCTTTGGCGAAACCGGTAAGTCTCCTTCGCTCTTCTTCTTCTTCTTTCGCCTTCGTTCTTCTTCGCTCTTCTGTGTCGTGACCACCCTGACGCCGATGGGTCTGTGCAGAGGTCGACTTGTCGGCGGTGGAGCAGATCGTGGAGCGAAGCCAGACGAACGCGATAGCCGACGCACTGCTCTTTCTCAAGGACAGCCAGGCCGCGGGGCTGGCCATGGACGGCCGACACTCGCTGCGTTCCATCCTGCACTCTCTCGAGCAGCGATTCGACAGCCCGCAAGGTACACGACACGACACACACACGACAGCGCACACGACACACGACTACGCTCACGACGGTTGCCGATATCGGATGCACACCAGGCCTCGACGTGCTGAACGAACACAGGCATCGGGGCACCTATGCGCGGCCTCGACGCTTCGAGGTCGCCGCTGCCGTTAATCGGCTGCGAACGGTGTCCATGACCCACCTGCCACCCCCACCCGCACACCCGTCCAACCCACGCGGATGATGGGCCTCTATGGCTGATGACTCTTAATTTTAAAACAAACAAACAAACAAATAACAATTAAAAAATACAACATCGATGGAGTGGTGCATCAGCTGAGCTTGAGGGTCTCCTCCTTGCCATCTCGGTAGGTCTTCACCGGTATATTGGACTTGACCATTTGCCTGCGCGAGCCACGTCGCGAAGTACGGTGGGCGTGAGTACTCCACGCCAGCTGGCGTGCGACGGTCGCACGAGGCGGCGAAAGGTCAGCGCATTGGGGGGGGGAGCACCTGTAGATGTCGAGCAGGGCCTCCTTGCGCTGCATCATGCCCCGCAGCTCGTGCCTCTGTTCTCGATCGATTATTCAGTGCTTCCAAGTCCATTTTGAAATGCATTTCAGCAGTACGTTACCTTGCCATCGCGCGTGACGATTTCGGCCACAGTTCCTGTTCCGGGTATGAAGCCCTTCTTGATCTTCATAACACGACACACACGACACACACGACACACACGACACACGACACAAACGACACACACGACACGACACACGACACGACACACGACACGACACACACGAAAGTTGAGAATGGCGAAGCGGAGGGTATGCACCGATTCGTACCTTGTGGAGGGCCTTGATCTCGACGAGGGCGAGCACCAGCTTGGTGGAGGAGAAGGTGGCCTCGAAGCAGAGGAAGTTGGGCGAGATGTAGATGTAGCCCCACGCGTGTTTATACGTGCACGCATAGTCTTCCCACAACAACAACAACAACACACACACACACAACACACACACCACCGCACACACACACACACACACACACACACCACCGCGCATCAGAGCAAAGTCGATCGGTGGCCAGTGCGAGGGGCGAGGGGCGTACAGACGATGCAGAATTCGGTGGGGGGCAGGCCGAACTTCTTGCGGAAGACCTCGATGTCGTGGATCTCGGTGACGGAACGCGTCTGGGAGGGGAGCGAGGCTTGTCGCGAGACCCGCTCGACCAACACGTTGATCTCGTTCTGCTGGCCCTCCACATGCTCCCGCAATACCTCGATCGCGTGTTGCGACTGTTTTGATGCAACACGCACACGACACACAATGAGACACGACACACACGACACGACACGAGCGCGCGCTCGTGCCTCTTTGTTCTTGTCGAGTAGGGTGGAATTTTCGAGGGTGTGTTTCTTGATTTCGTCGTCCTTGTCCTTGAGCTGCTGCAGCAGGCCGGCGATCTCGTCCCGGTACTTCTTCTCGGCGGCGTCGTACAGGGCCTTTTCCTTGTCCTGGCTCACCTTGAGCTGCCTCTCCACCTCCGTCAATCGCTGCGTCTGGTCCGATATCTGTTTCTCATATCTGCCGCACACGACCAACGACACGACACGACACGACACGACACGACACGACACGACACGACACGACACGACACGACACGACACGACACACGGAGGAAGGTGAGAGAAAGAAGTGCAGGCATTGGGAGGTGGGCGAGCGCACTGTGCTTTGAGCTTGCGAAGCTGCTGGAGCTCGGTCTCGAGCTTGCGGTACTCTGGCGACTCGAGGATCGACTTTTCGTCCGCCTCCGACGTCTTGCTCACCATTTGAAAGGCCTGGAGCGCGACGGTGTCAACACACGCACACGCACACGCACACGACGTGCGTAGCGGTAATACCAAACCTGCACTTTCCAGGAGTCGACTTCGGTCCTGAGCGTGGCGATCTCGCTCGCGTTCTTCTTCTCCAAGTCACGCAGCACCAGGATCTGCTGCTTCAGCACTGCTCACGTGCCGCGCGCGCGCGCTTTGGTCATCAGACGAGGCCCGGCTTTGGGTCCAAAGAAAAAGGGGAACACAAAGGGAGGCGGTAGGGTACCCTTGTTCTCCTCGACCAAGTCGACGAGACGGTCCTGCATCTGCATCTTCTCGTTCATCTTACCTCCTCCTCCGCCTGCCGACCCACCAGACGCTTTCTCCTGCATAGTTCGATTTAAGATCAGGATTATATTTATAAATAAGAATAAATCTGGAGTCATACATCATCTCTCTATCTTTTATCAATAATTCGATAAAAGAACGGGAATAATAAATAATCAAAAAAAATACATCAAGCTGATTAATTTGTCGTTGCGAGATGGAAATCTGCTGACCTGGTGTGGCGCGGCCTGTTCGCCTCGCGGCGAGACCACCGGTTGGCTCCCAGCACCAGACCCCGGGGCAGGATCCTTGTCCTTGAGCTTCGTCTCCAGCCAATTCAACATCTTGCGAGCTTTGTGTGGATTGATTTTTTGTGTTTTATTTTCTTCTTTTCTGAACAAGAAACAGATGAAAGAAACAGATCAAGAAGAAGACCTGAACTGTGCACCAAACCACCAAAACAGTGCTGCGGGCCTTTCAATGAGATCGCGCGTCGCCCACAGTCCCGCCATTGGTGCCGTACTTGGCGCCGCCACCGTTCTCTGTTGCTGTGCCTTGCTCGGCTCTGGCTCCTCCACCGCTGCCGTGCAGCGGCCTTCGCTCGATGGCGTGTTGTTCGTTGGCCGTGTGCTCTCGCCCGTTGATGCTGATGTTGTTGCTGTAGTTGTAGTTGTCCTGTCTTTCGTTCACCTCTTTCTCGTCATCGTCGTCATCGACGTCATCATCGTCATCGTCGTAGTCGGCGTAGTCCACCCAGGCGTCTTCGCCGGTGATACGCGCCTGCTCCACCCAGTCCTCCTGCGTCTCGTCGTCGTCTTCCTCTTCATCGCGGCCCACCACCTGGTAGGACTGATTGAGGCTCCACGCGAACTTCTCCTTCTTCACCCAGCCCATCACGCATATCACCAGGCACAGAACCACGCCAATCCCAGCCAGCCCTGATCGATAGAGAAACGTGCGCCCTTCAGTCACACGCACACACACACGCACCACCGCACACGCACACGCACACGAGATGTGGCGAATGGGTACCTGTGAGAACGTAGAAGGGATATCGGTAGGAGCCGAGCTCGTCGGCCAGGTAGCCCAGGCCGATGGGACCCAGCACGCCGCCCACGGCCATGATGAGCGTGGTCAGCCCAAAGGCCGTGGCGATCATGTCCTCCCGCACCGTCACGTTGATCATCGGCCAAATGGCCGCCGGGACCTGTTGTGTTTTGTTTATTATTTTTATTATTATTTGTTTTGTTTATTGTTTTTTGGTTTTTTGTTTTGGTTCCCCCAATGAACGGAGCGGAGCTCGTGAGGAGCGGAACGGGGTGCGTACCAAGCAGTATGCAATGCCCAGCACGGTCATGGTGGCGATCGGGTGGATCCAGGTGAAGGTGAGCATGAGCTCGCCCACGGCCAGCAGAACCGCTGCATGTCGATCGCGAATGAGCCAGAGTGCGAAGAGAAAAGAACGAAGAAGAAGAAGAAAGAACGAAAGGTGTGAAGAACGAAGATGAAGGTGGGCACCTCCGATGGTCATGGTGGTGACGAACAGTTTGGTCTTCTGCAGGAAGTAGCCGACGATGGGCGACAGCACCAACGGGATGCCGTACATGATGGAGTTGACGTGGGCGGCGTCGCTGGTACTGTAGCCCTCGAACTCGTTGTGCACGTAGTCGGTCGAGAAGGTCATGAGCATCCAGATCTGCGAGTAGCTGAAGAGCGAGATGAAGGAGAGGAGCCAGAAGACGATGGGGAAGTGGAGGATGTGCTTGATGGAGAACTCCTCCGCCTCCTCGTCCACCTCATCGAGTCCTAATCACGAGATGAAAATAAGATCTTGTCGTAAGTGCGGTGTGTGCGGTGTGTGCGGTGTGCGCGGTGTGTGCGGTGTGCGCGGTGTGCGCGGTGTGTGCGGTGTGTGCGGTGTGTGCGGTGTGTGCGGTGTGTGCGGTGTGTGCGGTGTGTGCGGTGTGTGCGGTGTGTGCGGTGTGTGCGGTGTGTGCGGTGTGGTAAGTACCCAGAATGGGAGCAGCACGGTAGTCGAGGATCACAAAAAAAATGTTACAGATGAAGTTGGCCAGCATGATACCCGCCGGGATGTATAAAGCTGGATAGAGAGAACAGAGTCAACACATACACCACACACCACACACCACACACACCACACACAGTGCGTGTACCTATTTTGAGGCTGGTCTCGGCGACGACCGGGGTGATGACCATGCCCAAAAACTGGCCCAGCAGGGTACCGGAGAAGGACATGCCGTAGGCGAGGGGCACCGATGGCGACACGGGCTCGCCTTCGCTCCACATGAACCATCGGGCGATGATTCCGTCTTGTACGATCTGGTGAGGTGGAGAGAGCAGAAGGAAGTTTCAACAAAAGATGCCGTGTGTCGTGTCGTGTCGTGTCGTGTCGTGTCGTGTCGTGTCGTGTCGTGTCGTGTCGTGTCGTGTCGTGTCGTGTCGTGTCGTGTCGTGTCGTGTCTGTTGTGGAGAGGAGACCCCGAAAGGGGGCGAGGAATGTGAAGGAATGTACGCCCATGGGCTCGAAGCCAACGCCCAGAACGAGCGCGCCCACGAGCTTGCCGTAGAAGCTGTCAAAATAGGCGAAGAGTAAGGTGCCGATGAAGTTGATGAAATTGAAGAACAGGCTCGTTTTGTTGGTGCCTGCGCCACGAGAATACGAACAACCACCGGTTTAGATGAGCGAACACGCTTGAGGCGCGTGAGTACTGCGTACCGATCTTGTCGATCAGCACGCCGGAGATGGGAGAGATGACGACGCTGGGGAAGGCGGTGGCCGACATCAGCATTCCCACTTGGAAGGAACTAAAGCCTGCCTCGGAGACTGCGCGAAGACAAGTGCGCGCGCAAGAGAGAGAGAGAGAGGTACCCAACACGATATGATGAAGGAGACGATGATGAGAACAACACGACACGATAAGGCAAAGGTGGAGGAGGTGGAGGGGAGAGCGCACTGAGGAGAGGAGCGGTGGAGCCGATCATGACATCGGCAAAGTAGGCAGCAAAGAGGAAGCATGACGACAGCGCGAGGATGGTCCAGCGATAGAACCATCTGTGTGTTGTGTGTTCGTTTCCGCGCCAATCGTGAGAGTCGTGGTGAGTTGAAACAGCGGACGAGATCAAATCAATCAATATCAAAATCAATGATGAAATGATCGATTGAAGCTCCACTCTTGGGAGAAGAGAGGGAAGGAGGGGTACTTAGAGGGATGGAAGAAGCCAGGTGGTCGTTTTGAATCAGGTTTGAGTCCCTCATCAATCACGTCGTCATTGATGAGGCCCGGCCTGTGATAGTGATAGCCCACGTGATAGTCGGATCCCTCGTCACCGAGGGGGAGGGCGTTTGTTCGAATAGTCCATTCATCACTCATGGTGGTGTTTGACGATTTATCCCATTCGGCAGATAGAGTGGAAATGGCTGATGTCGGAAGTTCTCGAGGATCGTCGAAACGGAGGGAGAGACACTCGATGTCGTGGGTGCGAACTGCAATCTCGAAAGATGGCAAACAAGAAGATGGTGCGGGGTGAGGATCAAGCGAAATCTCCTGCTTCGGGGAAATTTCGTCTCGCTTTACGGGCCACTGCGGGGGGAGCTGTTGTTCAAGCAGAAGAGATGAGAAAGACGAGGAACAAGGCCTCACGAGTCGTACCAACCACGGCCAGCACCAGACTAGTCTTATCCACCAGTGGGATAACAACGAGTTGCCCCGGCAGAGACCAGAATGTGGTATCTTCTTGTGGAAGCAGAAGACAAGGAGCAAAGCGTTTGAGTCCGACTGCCTTGATCGCCGTTCTCAGGAGAAGACATGGTCCTGTTCTGGCGTTCAGTGTTTGCAGCCGCTTCGTTCGCCCACCAACCTCCAACCCAACGTGACGAGAACTGTGCGACAGAGCATTACTTTGAGGCCACGGCTGAGCGTCAGCCCAAGCAAGCAAGCTCGCGCCATTGCCCAGGCCCTCATTTCCTTCGGTTGTGGCGGCGTACCGCGCGAGAGGAAGGTGTCACGTTACTGTAGATCTATCGCAAGCGCCTTCAGCAAGAGGAGAGCGACTTGACCAGAGGACAGGAGATGCATGGACCATTTGCCGAACGAACAGGCTTGTGTTGGGCAGTTAGAAGGTGTAAACGAATCAACAAGGAGGAATAGATGTTTGCATTGATCGCAGGAGAGGGTATGTACAGGCGATAACACAAACTGGCTACGTACAAGGAAAGATGTGCACAAGACCCACCAGCCAGGCAGGGTCTGGGGCATTGACAAACAAAAAGGTTCACATCAAACCGAATTAAAAGAGATGCCAATCCGCCGCGACGAGTACCTGAATATCGGTGCTCATGCTGCGCATCACCACCGAGCCGCCGAGTCCGCTCCGGCTCGCTTCGGCGAAGATCAGATCGGCCTCGAGCTCCTCTCGGCAGTTCGTCATCTCGTCGAGGAGTTGTTCGTTCGATTCCAGGGCAGAGTCGTTCACGAAGAGGCGTAGAGGGTGTGGGGGTTGGCCATCAGTCGTTCATTCGAGCCGAAGGCGTCCAAATCGAAGCCGAGAGCTGCAATGCCGTCGAAGGATGCTTCGAAGTTGGCCAGCGGCGTGTGAATTTGACCCGAGGAGGACAGAGGAGTGGCGTTGGAGGGTCGTTCTTGCTGCTGATCGATGAAGAGGTTGGGCGTTCGCGATCGAGACGAAGAAGTGGAAGGTATCGAGTCGCGCCTCGTTCGCTCCAGTCGCTTCTGGATCGGCTTGACGATGTAGGGTCTGCTCCTTGCGCGGCCGTGATGATGGGCCGATCTCGACGATGTCCGTCCCTCTCGATGCGGTGGAATGCGCGATGGCGGCACTTGAAGGTAGTGGACGTGAAGCTGGGCCTGGTTGGCACCAGCAGCATACGGCGCAGCGTTCATGAAGGTGTTGTTGTAGTGGCCGCCACCGCTGTTGCTCCCGTGGACCAGCGCCGCCGAAGATGGCGGCTGCGGCAGCTGCTGCTGCGAGGTCGAAGAAGAAGACGTCGTAGTGGCGAAGGTGAAGGCCGAGGCGAAGAAGTTGTTGTCGCTATACATGGCTGCGGGTGTCGAAACGTCGAACTTGTCGTGTGCAGAACGCAACTGCAGGCAGGTCGTGTTGCAGCCGTGAAAGGAACTGCAGCCAGCGGCGTAGCTGTCGTTGTGCGGGGCAGGAGGAGAAGCTCGCGCGCCGAGGAGAGAGCTCGGTGAAGAAGAAGATGGCCCTTCCTTCAAGAAGGCTGTCGTTTCTATGTGTTCAATACCGATAGCTCGAGAGAGTAAAAGACACACGCGCAAGACCGCACACGGCGGGTTTGGTGTCGCTCTCGCTCGCGAAAAGTGAAAGAATGCTTTCCTGGCCGCGCGGCTCTCCCTTTTCTCTCGCGGCTCGCCCCGTCGACGATAAATCCAAACCGCAGCAGAGAGGTCCAGCGCGCCACACAACAACAAGGAGGCCAACGAAGCGACGGAAGCCCACAATAAACCTGGAATGTCGGACGGGGGTGACAGAGATGGCTCGCTCTGTTTTCGTCGTCTTTCCCACAGAAGGGTGAAGGCGGACGACGACGATGATGATAATCACCAAAAAAGAAGAGAGAAGAGAGAGAGACAGGAGTAGAGAGGACCTGTTGTCTCGATGTCTCATCACGGTTGGCGTGTGTGGTTTGGTTCATCATCATCGTCAACGAAGAAGCCCGTTTGGGATCTCGTCAATACTTGCTGGGGCAGCGGCCGATCGAGGGCTCACATGCTGGCGAGCTTGCCCTGGGACTGCATCATCTCGACGAGCTTGTTGATGTCGGTCGCCGTGGCGGCGTCGAACATGCCTCGCGCCACGTCGACCGGGAATCGGCTGCTGTTGGCCGTACTCACGCGCACCTCGGCCTCCGACTCGACGATTCGAAAGTCGACGTCGACGTCGACCACCGTCGTGGCCGTCTTACTCCTCTCTTCCTTGGTCGTCTTGCTCTCATTCTCCGCCTCCATCGCTGGTCGAGGCCGTTGCTGTGTCGTGGTCGTGGCTGTCGGTGTTGGCGCGGTGTAGATTTCGGCCCACGAGAACAGCATGCCGTCGGTGACCGGCCCGAACGGGTTGAAGTCCATCAGCCACACTCGCTTCTTGGCCTCCTCCACGTACACATCGACGACAACTGCAGAACATGACAGACAGAAAAGAAGGTGGTTAGAGCCGCGAGGTCTCGTGCTAGAATGGCGGCCATCACCATCTGATGTCGGTGCGCGCACCGTTTTCGTCGGGGAAGGAGCTGAGGATGTGAGCGTCGAAGAAGTCTTCAATCAGTTCCAGCAGCTCGGCCTTCATTCGCGGCAGGAAGGGATAGAACTTGGCCGGGTCCCGCTGGCTTATGCCTTCATCGCCAAGATTGAACAGAGAGACACGTCATCGTCAGCGAAGGAGAGACCAGAGAGCTCTCAGCGAACGCAAAAGAAGAAGGGCGGCGCATGTTGAATGCAGAAGTCGGTACCGACGAGGGTGCGGCGCTTGACGAAGCACCTGAACTCGAGGGCGGGCGAAAGCGCGAACCACTTCCGGAGCACGAGCGTGAACTGTGGTGGTCGCTTCAGCTGGCTGGGCCGGCCCTTCTCGTCCACACTCTCCGAGAACCTGGATTGCGGGAGGAGCCAGAGCATAGTCAGCAGTCGCGCGCGTGGGTCGGCGCCCGTGCGCATAGCAGGCAATGGCGGGCGTACGCGTAGGACAGATCGTGCGACACGAAATCGGAGCTCTTCAGGAGGAGGCATATGTCGGCGAACGACGAGCAGTTGAGTGTGCCGCCCACGCTCATCCAGCTGGCGTCCTGTGCAATCGGTACATAGGTTGAGCCGAGAGCCCACACGAGAGAGGCTTGCATGGACTGATCGAAGCGAGTGCAGAGATGGGTTGCAGAGAGAAGAGGCGGACCGACCTTGGGGCTGCTCCAGTTGAGCTTGGGCACGACCGCGCCATCCAGCTCGCGTATGGCGCGTTCCACCTCCTCCTCCAGCTCGGGGAACTCCACGTACTTGGGCTCTTCCTCTTCTTCCTCCTCTTCGCTGCTCTCACTGTCGCTCTGCCATCCATTAAATGTTGTGAGTAAAGATGAAATGATGGGAGCTCACTCGATCTTTGCTGCATCCC